TGGGGCCCGTCAGCCCGCCGGCAGATAAGCAGCGTGCTCACCGACGAAGGGTGAGAAGCCTCTCCATGAGACAGCGAACTAACACTCTCTCTATTCCGTTCCAGAAAGCACTGAGTGACCGATCAGCCCCGCCACGAGCACGGCACGGATTCACCCGCACCTGGACATGATCGAGAGGACCTCAGCGAGCTAGAGCACCACCACCATTCACGTAGTCACTTGTCATTTAATAAATCCACCCTCCGGGGCCTTACACCAAGCTCTCCTTGTTGCGTGATCCTTCCACCCCACCACACTGGTGGAGAATGCAGGCAAGTTAGTGGAAGGAACACTGACAAGCGATCTCCCGGGGTCTCACCTTTCTGTTTTTTTTCCTCTCTGTCTCCCCTCTGCTAGGCGGCCGCTCCTCCCCGACATGGACGAAATCCTCCAGCGGCTTACGGAGGTCAGCATCCGCCAGCAACAAATTACGGAACATCTTGCGGCCCGACAGGGTCAGACCGTGCAGGAGCTCGACGCACTGCGCACGGCCACAGCACTACGCGTTCTGTTACCCGACCCCCGGGTACAAGTGACACAGCTCTTGCCAAAAACGACTGCTCATGATGATGTGGAAGCTTTTCTACAGATGTTTGAAAACATGCCGACCCAGGAGGGCTGGGGGAGGGAAGACTGGGCATGGCTGCTGGCGCCCCTTTTCACGGGTGAGGTGCAACGAGCCTACTTCGCCCTACCATCCACGATGGCAGACAACTACATTGAACTAAAAAAGGAGATCCTGGCCCGCCTGGGGCTTTCTTCGGTCTGTGCGGCCCAGTACTTCCACGACTGGGAGTACAAATCCCGCCTCCCCGCCCGAGCCCAAGCTGCCGAATTGTTCCGCCTCGCTCAACATTGGTTATTGGATGGAGATCCCACAGCGGCCCAGGTAATGGAGTGCGTCGTTATCCTGTTGACCGCTTCCACTGGCCGGGACTGGAGGCTGAAGTTAAACGTTTCTGTCAGTCCTGCTCTACCTGCCAGAAAACGCCCCCGAGGACGCCTCCCCCTAGCCCGCTGATTCCCTTACCCATCATCGAGGTGCCATTCGAGCGCATCGGGATGGACATCGTGGGGCCGTTGCCTAAGTCTGCCCGGGGTCACGAACACATCCTGTTCATCGTCGACTATGCCACCCAATACCCAGAAGCAGTGCCCCTTCGAAAGGCCACCGCCAACCCATGCTGAGGGATGAGCCCATGCCAACAGAGGTACCAACACCTCCTGTACGGACGTGGCTGGCAGGCTGTATCGTGCATCGTGACCTGCCCGTGGGGGCTCCAGAAGCAGAAGTAAAAATCAATGGCCTCCCGTTCCCAGCTCTACTGGACTCCGGCAGTGCGGTCAGCCTCGTACAGTCCCGCATCCTCGCACCCCGCGGGGAAACCAAAGCTTCCCTCCTGATCACGTGTGTGCACGGAGACACGCGATACTTACCGGCCCGGAGAGTGACTATCTCAGCTGGCCCTGGGACTTGGCCGGTGGAAGTGGGGGTAGTGAAGGATCTGCTGGTCCCCGTCCTTCTCGGGAGGGATTGACCAGGGCTGGACCGCCTGCTTGTCGCCGCCATACAGCCTGTCAGCACCAGAGGGAGCCTCCGTGGGAAGAGGCTGGCGAGAGGAGCCCGTCAGCACCCCGTCTGGCTCGCCTCGGACAGCGGGAGAGCCCGTCAACGTCCCGTCTGGCTCGCCTCGGGCAGCGGGAGAGATGGTGAGTCCCCTCAACATAATTCTAACCTCTTCCTTGACCTATCTCAGCAGGTGACAGGAGGCGGTTCGTTCGCCAAGGAACAGCGCGAGGACGACCGTCTAAAGCACTGCTGGAAGCAAGTGCGCAGGATAGAGGGAAAGGAGACACAACCGGGGCCCCATCCTCTCCCGCATTTCATCGTCCAAAACGGCCTGCTCTACTGTGTAGCGCGGCGAAGGGGGGAGGACAAGACCCTATTGGTGGTGCCGCGGACGAAGACGGAGACGGTGCTGGAGTTGGCACACTCGCACCCACTTGCCGGCCACCTTGGAGCGGCCAACACCACCCAACGGGTCCGTGACCGCTTCCACTGGCCGGGAGTGGAGGCCGAAGTTAAATGTTTCTGTCAGTCCTGCTCTACCTGCCAGAAAACGTCCCCGAGGACGCCTCCCCCTAGCCCGCTGATTCCCTTACCCATCATCGAGGTGCCCTTCGAGCGCATCGGGATGGATATCGTGGGGCCGTTGCCTAAGTCTGCCCGGGGTCACGAACACATCCTGGTCATCGTCGACTATGCCACCCGATACCCAGAAGCAGTGCCCCTTCGAAAGGCCACCGCCAAGGCCAT